GGTTTTGGTTAATGTTATGGGTAATATTTCAAGGCATGATAATGACATGGTCATTTTTGGAGGTTCCACAGCTTCAAGATAAGCATCTTCACCCAATGCCACCTGAAAATTTATTAAATAATTTAAAATAAATAAAAAACTAAAAATAAAACACTTTTACGTTTAAATTAATCAATACTAACTGAAAAATTAATTTCCCAAGGTACGTAAGAATGTTTTTTTTTTTTTTCTTTATTTTCTAATATTTCAACAGGTTCGATCAATGGTTCCCAAGCTGTTAAAACTTTATTGTAATACTGAAATTCTAAAGACAGCGTACTGTTGATGGAAAGCTGCAAAAAAAAAAAAAAAAAAAGAAAAATTATTATTAAAGGTATAATGAGATCACGTGTATGTTTTTTTTTTTTTTTTTTTTTAAGTAAAAACAATTTTTTATTTTTTTTACCTTTGAACTCCAATTATTGCATTCTAATTGAAATCCCATCTTTAAAAGCAGCATAGGGGAAAACTGTTTGGCTGCTATTCCCTCGACTAAAATAATAATCGAAGGAATGGCCAACAAACAGATTTCATCAAGTTCTTTTTTATCTTGAAAAAATGTCGGTGAAACCTTTGAAAAAGAATACAAAGCATCTTCTCCTTGCTCTGAACAAAAAAAAAAATTTTTAAGTATTTAAATTTTAATAAAATTTGAAAGTAAAATACTTTTATAATATAATTTTTTTTTCTGCTTCTTATTTTAATAATAATAATAATAATTTTTTTTTTTTATGATGAGTGTATAAATTGCCAATAAATTTGATATTTTATCATAGGTTATTTACCAATTTTGAGAAACCAAAAATCATCAACGTCAAAAGAATCCGGTTCCCATAAATCTGAAAAATCTTTTTCTTCCAATTTATTTTTAATTAAAGAAGAATCCAAAAATAAAACTTCATAACATTTTAACATAAGTTCAACTGTGGCTGGATTCACGCTTATTAAAATCTCAGTTAAAAATATATCAATATGAAGGCCTTGGCCGAGTGGAGTCGAACCTGCCACACTTACTGTAAACGGTCGTATAACCTAAATAAAAATTCAAATTGAACAATTAGGTACTTTTAAAATCAGTCTATAATTAAGCGGGGGGAGGGGGGGAGAAATAAAATAAATTACTAAATTTATTAAATTATATTTATTCAATACATGTACGTACCTGAGACAAGGTGTTGCGTCTTTTTTTAGGGTTGAAACAACAAGAATATAACTCTATATCACCTAAAGTACCCGCAATTATTTGTCTGATTCCTGCAAATCTATATTTTAAAACTATTTCAGTCTGAAAAAAAAGAATTTATGTTTTTTAAAACAACTAACAAAAAAAAAAACTAAAAAATTTTCAGTCATATAATTTCATATCGGTTTGAATAAGTTACATGAAATATTAATGCTTCCGTGTCAATCGAATCCATATTTTCAACAATTATAATATCAGGTTTTTCGACTTTAAGATTTATTGTAAAAGTAGGAGGTCGTTCGTGTCCTTCCTCCATCAAAAGCCTCGCTTTATTTTCAATATTTTTTATTGTACTCGAAGGCTCGTATCCTTCATTATCATTCACTTTATCAGAAGTATTAATTGTGAAAAATTCTTTGAGTTTATGCAAAAAATCCATAGACAATATCAATGTAAATTTAAATACTCTCATATCAACTGAAATGAAAAATTATCATATCCTAATAAAAAAAAAACGTCCTTGAACTTATTGAAAAATTGTTGGAAAAAAAAAAATTCTAAAAATTAAATTGTTAATTGAGTATTTGTTTTAAAGTAAAAAAAACTTGCAACAAAACAAATCAAATTATTTTTAATAAAATCGAATAAACCTAATTTTTTTTTTTTTTGTTTACTTCTAATTACATTTAAATTTTATATCGTAAATAATTCACATGTAAATATTACAAAAAAAATTGAATAACATACCAAAAGAATCATTTCCTTTACTTTTGTAAGATATTTCTACCATACTTTTATTTGCACGGATGTCCATATTAGATTCCGAACTTTCCATAAGTCTTGTTAATCTATCCTTATTGCCTTAAATAATAATATTTTTTCAAAAGATTATTTTTATGATTGCATTTGCAAACATTTTTATTTCTTTTAAACGAGTTTTTAGTTATATTTTTTTAAACTTGCCGTTAAAAAAAAAATTTTTTTTATTTAAAAATTAATAAATTATTTGTTACCGGGTCTCGTGTCGTCCAATACGCAGCTAACTAACAACAAAGAGGTATCGACAGATCCATTTGAAAACATTTTTCCTTTTAGTGAAATAGTTTCCAAAACAAATCTTGCGAGCCCAATGTTTTTACCACTTTCCGGACAACTAGTCTAAAAAAAATTTTTTTTACTTTTAAAACTTACAATATTTATATAAATTAAACTACATAAGCATACTGCAACTAATTAATAAAATTATTATTATTATTATTATTATAATTATTAATTTTATAGTTTCATTGCTTTTTTATGCAAGAATATTTTATATATACTAACCTTATCACAATCACTGGTCAAAGCGTCAAAAATGAAACTATCCATGAAAAATACAAATTTGACAACAGTATAAAAATTAGTGCTTTCTTCGGTTACTGTTATAATTTCGCTTACTTCTTCTTCTTCTTCCCAAGCTACTCCACGTTCTTTTGGTAAACCTTCCGAAATTAAAGACCTTTTGACTTTGACGTTTTCTCTTAAATTTTTAATCGATCCTTCGTTCATGTTATTTGTCAATGTGTCGACAATATTACATAAATCATCGTGAGATAATGAAACCTTAATGGAAGCTAAACGAGCTAAAATTTCGAATTCGGGTACAACTTTAAACCACGAAGTAGACAAATTTCTTTTTATTGATAATTCAAATGAAACGGGCGTGAGGAAAATTTTTTCATTAAACACTTTGAGTGAATCTACATCAAGAATGCAACTGAAAATTAAAATGCATTTAAAAAATGCATTAAAAAAATACGATTAAAAACTCAGATAAATTGAGTATAAAAAATTATTACCGAGAAAATTTTAAATTTTGTAATTGAAAACGCATGTTGTCAATAATGGGTCTCTTGCTTACATCTTCTTCCTGAGGATAATTAAGTTCCGCAATTTGATTTTTAAGGGTTAAAACCCCTAAATCGATTACCAAGGCTTCAACGCTTTGCGATGTAATGGGTATCACGATAAAAGGTGCCTGATAATTATAAATAATCGAGAGTATTTAAAAAAATTTTTTTTTTTCAAATTTATCATTATCTATCAAAATTTGAATGAAATTTGAATACCATCGTGAATATTGATAGTAACATTTAAACTTAATTAAAAATTAAATACTTATTACAACTTACTGTTATTTTAACATCAAAAAAAATTTTTAAAGAATTTTGATATGCTTTCATTACATTTTCTTTTGCTCGTTGTGCAGCAACAGCAGCACCTTCCTTTAGTCTTTCAAACTGTTTTTGAAAATTTAATAAAAAATTCTAAAAAAAAAAAAAAAAAGCGCACTTAAATTTTACGAAATTAACAATTGTTAAAATCTATATAAAGAGTTTATTTAAATAAAAAGTACCAGAGTGAAATAAACAATAACAATACTTGCCTGAATTCTTAAAAAGAATACGTGTAAGAAAATACATCGAAGACCACCAAACTCAGCTTCCAATGACATGTCGACACAATCATTTTGACCATAATATTCACTATTAAAAATAGTGATGCGTGTAAAAAATGTCTGTTTCTCTAATGACTCTACAATCTATAGAAAATTTACAAAAAAATTAAAATGTTCAAGTTAAAAAACGAAGAGTTATGCACAAGAACGTTAATTTACTTTTGTGTGTATTGTTTCGGGATTTAAATCTTTAAGAATTATTTCGCAGAGTTTAAAATCAACGTTTGTGTACGATTTTTGAGTCGTTACGTCAAAACTTCCTTCTCTAATAGAAAATTTGGCTAATCTCTGATTCTTAGATTCAACCAATAAATTTATTTCTTCCAGTTTCGCAATCAAAAAAAAATCGATTATTTCTTTTTTTGGAAGTTTTTTTCTAAATTTTTTCCCTAAAAAAAAAAAAAAAAAAAACGCTTATTACATTACGTACAACAACAACAACAACAAAAAATTAATTTTTATAAACTCAATAAAAGTAATAAAAAACCTTTGTTCAATGTTTTTCCTTCGGAGAAATTTTCAGATGGTAAATAAGTATTTGTTTCTTTAGGTTTACCAGAATCCGCCATTTTGAAATGACCACAATTTTCTTGAACTGCATTCAAACGATTTTTAATATGATTAAAAAACCATAATTGATCTAAAAGTGCTTCTTTGTGAAAAACAACATTTATGGGAGATATATGTAATTCTATACGATTCACAATGGATTCTCTTTCGGTTCGGAAATTTGGAGCCATTGTGCTTACCTACAAAAATTTAGAAAAAAAAAAAACAAGTAAAATTTTTAAGAAATAATGTAATATTATATGTTAAAAAATTTTTTCAACTGTAACTTACATTAGTGTGCTCCGATTCGAAAAAATAAGAATCATTTTGTAAAACTTTAGTAGTAACAAAGGGAACTACTTGATTTCTACAATACTGATGAAATTCTATTCCGCCCAATTTAAGGTTGCTAATTATTTCAAATGTTTTACACGTTAATTCCGTTTCCAATTTCACTACACGTAATTGTAAAAATTTATCTTCAGCTTCTTTCGATTTTGGGCTTGTTTTATATTTCGATGCTAACGTTTGTTTGTTTTTGTAGACAATAATCAATAGTTCTGAAATTTTCAAAAAAAAATTAAATTCGATTCCATCCAATTTAAGGTTGCTAATTATTTCAAAAGTACAAAATACGATCGAAAAAAATCGTAAAATAAGTTTTCAAGCAGACGTTATTTGTCTTTTATTTGGAAAATTTTTATTTTGACTTGATATCAAAAAGCTTGATTTGATTTTTTTTTTTTTTTTATGCTGAAATTAAACAAAAATTTTAAAATCCTCGATATTGCAAAAATTTTTAAGTTTTCCTATTTCACATTTAAATTTTGATAAGTAAAAACACACATGAACATAAACAAAACAAACAATTTTTTAGAGCATAAAGGGTGACAAAAAAACCATTAGGGTTAGGTTAGTCATAATTATATTAAATTATATTATAAATGTCATTCACCTTTCATTTCAAAATTTAGAAAAAAATCAATTCCTTGCTCATAAATTGAATTTGAAATCGGAAGCCTTTCAGCGATATTCGCAAATTTATTTTCAAATTGGGCAGTAAAAGAATGCAGAGACCATGCGCTTACAGCTGTTGATATCTAAATTTAATATAATGAAAATTAAAATAATTTATGTATATATATTTGCCTCAATGTTGAAAAAAGCAATTTTTTTTTTTTTTTACCTTTAAGGGAATTTCATCCTCTTTTTTTTTCATGGGAATGGAAAATATTAATTCGGCAAAAGCTACAAAACGATCTTCAGAAAAGTTAAAAATTAAAGATGGTAATTGACCTTCGCATATTATTTTCGGTATGGTAGGATCGTCGGTAACCAGTGACTTTTTAATTATAAAAACCAAATCAGAAGTTTCTAAAAAACGCATTGGAGATTTTTCGCTAATGTTAGATGCTTCCATCCAATCTTCACCAGCTAATTGAAGAAGAATCTGAAAGTAAAGGGGGAAAGTTTTACAATATCATTTTTTTTGAAAAGTGATACGTTTAAAAAAATTTTTAACAAAAGTTTCTTTTTTCTATCTTCCTATTTTGAATATCTATTTAAACTGTGTTAAATTGTGTATAAAAAAATGAAATAGAAAAACTACCTGAACACCAACTAATTTGCATTTAAAATTAGTGTAACTTGCGGACAAAACGGTGGAAAATATTTCTTGCTCTGTATTTCCTTTAAGGTATAATTTTTGAACACTAACACTTTGCTTTTCCGTTTTTTCCGTTTCAATATTTAATTTTCCAAACATAATCACCAACATTTCTTTATTTCTAAAAATTAAAAATAATTTGAATATGAATATTACCTAATATTAAAGCTAAGCTATTACAGAAGTATTTTCTACAAAAAAAAAAAAAAAAAAAAACTAACTTGGTATAATAACCTCCATAAGGGATTATTAAGTAAGAAGACATTATATTAATTTTTACTTCAAAAATGGTTCTTTTTTCTATAGCATATTGAAGACCCATTGCAGTTATTCTTCGAAAAGCCGGCAAAGTTGGCACTGTAACAACACTAAATTATTTTGTATTAGAAAATTCTTTGTTCTTAAAAAACATTTTTTTTTTTTTCAAATTGCAAAAATTCAACTTTACTTTTGTAATTCGTCTCCGATTAAATTAAAAAAAACATCTCGAACAGAATTTATAGTGTCAGCGTGGTACACTATTTTTAAAGGAAGTGCATTCACGTGTATTCTTTGGTCACAATCACCATTAAGGGGTTTGGACTCGTATAGAATGTCAACCAAATTTTCCGATTCCTCACAATTTGACTTAATCAATCTCGGAAATGTTTTATCATTTTCATTCTGTATTCCTAAAGCTTCTAATTTTCCAATGGACATTTCAAATCTGAATTTTGATATAAATTTATAATTTATAATAATTCGTACAATTATTCGCTCCAAGAGTAATTTTTTTTAAAGGTTAGTTGATGTCAAACCCATACATTAAAAACTTACTTCATTCCGTACGCAGATGGTCTCCGCTCAAATCTCATATTTATAGTTTTTAAAGAAAAGGACATTAGTTGAAAACAAGAAGGAAATTGTTGTTCCGAAACGGTCGCCTTGATTTCATCAAGTTGAAATAAAAATTCAATTTCAACATACTCTGCTGGGTAATTAGGAAGAGGATCACTTTCATTATATCCAATAGCTTTGTACAATTTTGCTTTTTCATTTGATGTCATGACACTTTCAAATTTTTTAACTATAAAAATAATATAAATGTAATTTTATAACTCGTTAAGGCTTAATTAGCAAGTATTTTAAATATATATATATATATATCACCTAGGTCATTTTCATGAACATTAGATTTTATATTTGAATTATATCCAAACCAACCAGAAAACCAACCACTGTTTTCTGAGGTTTTACTACTACTTTTTTCTATATTACTTCTTGCTATTTGTACATAAGCCTGTTCTCTTAATAAAAGTATATTAAAAAGGTTCAATTCTCTTTCCAAATTTTGTAATTCTTCGGCAATAGATAATGAAATTTTTTTAGAATTCAGCTTCAATTCATACAAACTAGAATATTTTCGGCACATCATTCTATGTTTCTGAATGTAAACCCATGACCATTCGCGCTTTCGGCGTCTTATATCTTCCGCAACACCATTGTAGGCAAACATCCACCTAATATAAAATATAATAAAGCCAAAAATTTATAATTTTTTGGCAAATAATTTATATGCAAATAATTTACCATTCTTTAGCATGCCCTATGACAGTAATCCCTACCGGCCTGTACTTTCTATATTTTGCACCAGCAGAGAGTCTCTGATAATTTTGCGCATAAATCAATGCATCGTTAAACTGCCTGTGGTTTAATGCTTTAAAATATATTATTATTGAGATAAAATTAAAAAATTACAAAAAATAATCATAGTATTTACCTAAATCAATTTCTTTTAAGTGTATCTTTGCCAAAAGTTTTGGAATTTGAAAATCAGATCCATCTATTTCTGGCCTTGGATTTAACTGTAAAGAGGCGGATGCGGACAATGGTCCAAAAACTAAAAATATTTTCATAATTTTTTTATGCACTTTTCAATTTAAACTTTTACAATACAATGTGTAGTTTAGAAATATATCAATTTAGATATTATATTATTTAAATAAGTCTAATAAATAATTAATGTACATTTTATGGTTTTTTAATTGAAATTATAATTTTGAATAAGAAAATGCAAATATTTACCATAAAAATATCCTTCTGGTTTGTAATTATTTTTTGGGATACTGTCAAGTAGAGCATTGATTAAATCAATATCACCATAATCAGAAAACATATCAGAGTTTGTATTCCAATATATAGCAAATCCATCTAAGTGAATTTTCTGTAATAAAAATTTTCCTATGAGAAGACATTATAAATTTAATTCCTGTGTAAAGAATTTTTATAGTAAATTTAAAAGTAACAATAATTTAATTAAACTGAAACATTGGAAACAAGTGAATGTAATAATCGAAAGTTGATTTCCTTCAAAATTATTATTAGTTTTAAACAAACAAAATTTAGAAAAACTAAATTTTTAATATAAAGACAAATCAGAAAATGAAAACTATATAAAAATGTTGAAATAATTAAAATTTAAACTGTGCCTTATAAATAATGTTGTAATTTTCTAATAAAGCTTCAGTTTCACTCGGATCAATACAAGTTGTAACTGACAAATCTGACATTGTCAAACCAATACTAAAAGGAAAACTTGGATTAGTAGTTTGGTCTTCATATCTTATATGAATATTTCGAATTATAATTTGTAAATTTTTAACAATTTGTGTTAACAATTTTTCCATAAATCCATCATTTTGATTAACTGAATCTGCAAAAGAAAAAAATAAATTTACTGTGAACCAAGAGCCCTAAAGAAATTTTAAAAAAAAAATTTTTTCCCCTGTAAGACACAGGTTTTAAAAATTAAGCTTAAATCCTATATGATAAACATATTGCAGGAATAATAAATGTATTCAAGTTCCTTAACTTCAACTTATAATAATTCACCTAATAATAATCGTTAAAGTCTCTTGTAAAAATAATGCAAAGTTTTTAAAGTGATTCATTACCATTTTCTAATTCACGTTTTCTAGCTTCTTCAACAGCTCTGAGTTTTGCCTGTTTTCTATCATTTGCCCATTTTTCTTCTTTAACAGGGTCATATTTATATTCATTAAATGGAACTATTATCATTAACAATTCTTCAATCTCCACCACAACATTAGATGAATACACATTTTTCCAAGGAATTTTCATAGAAAATTTTCCTAATATTCCCCATTTCACTTTTATAGGTAAGCCTAAGTCATCAAAAAGTGTGGTTTTGATTTTTAAATTATTCAAAACTACATCACCTACAAATATTTAAACCACATTATAATTTCAAGTATAAATTACAAATTGTATTTATTACCTATATTTAAAAATGTAAAAACTTGTCAAATTTTAAAAAAATCATGAATTTGCAAAAATTATTTTAACAAAATCCTGTCACTTACCTCCCCATATACCTATTTTAAGCTGAGAAGTATCCAAATTTTGAATATACTGTTTTAAAATTTTATTTAATAACTCCACTACCAAAGCCTCAAACACCATTTTATTTTACAAAAATAAATAAAAAAAAGTATAATAGATTTTCAAAAAAGAATTGTTTATGAACATAAAACTTAAAAATACGATTGATCACTTAACAAGTTTTAAAACATGAACAGTTGATTAGCTAAAATTATTTAATTAGCACAAATAATTAAAAAAAAATTGAACAAATAAAAAACTTAAAATTTTAAAACTCATTTAATGAATAAATTTACTGAAATCAAATCTGATGGAAGCTACTGTTTCGAGTTAAATAATTTTATGAATTAATAATTCTCAAAAACCTGATAAGACCCAAACTTTTTTCCGTTTTAAGCTTAGAGTAAAAAAAAAATTTTTTTTTTTTCTTAAAAATATAGTGTCACATATTATTCTGCTTACACGATCGGAGGCCATTTTAGTAATTATTATTTTGGACTTGTACAGTTCTAAAGTATGTGAATTTTAATCTCAGAAATCCTTTCTTGTGATGTATAATAATGTTTTTGAAAAATTATTTATAAATTCCTATTAAATGTAATTTTTATTATTATTTAACGAAATACTTTTTATTTTAGGGTTCCTAATGGGGCGCTATGCTAGGGAACCTGATAATGCGACCAAATCTTGTAAAGCTAGAGGTTCAAATCTCCGTGTTCATTTTAAGGTTAGTATAATATAAACTCATTATTGCATCTTTGTTTTTTTTTTTTTTTTTTACAAACTTTATAAAGACGTTTTTTATCTTATCTTAACATTTTTCTATTGGTTTAGAACACGAGAGAAACAGCTCAAGCCATAAAAAAAATGACTTTAAGGAGAGCTGTTAAATACCTTAAAAATGTAATTGAACACAAAGAATGTGTACCCTTTAGAAGGTTTAATGGTGGGGTTGGAAGATGTGCTCAAGCTAAGCAATGGAAAACTACCCAAGGAAGGTGGCCTAAGAAATCAGCCGAATTTTTACTTCAATTACTTAAAAATGCTGAATCTAACGCTGATTACAGTGGGTTGGACATTGATCGTTTGGTAATTGATCATATTCAAGTAAATCGTGCCCCATGTTTACGTCGTAGGACGTATAGAGCTCACGGAAGGATTAATCGTAAGATTTTTTTTTTATTTAATTTAATATTTTTTAAAAAAGTTCAAGTTGTTTTTAAGTGAGTTAAATAAGGTGTGCTTTAAAATTAAAACCTTTGATTTGAGTTTTTATATAAAATCTTTTTTTTTTGTTTTAGCTTATATGAGTTCACCATGTCATATTGAAGTATTTTTAACTGAAAAGGAAGAAGTAATTGCTAAACCGACTCATGAAGAACCTACTAAAAAGAAAATTTCTAAAAAGAAATTAGCAAGACAGAAAGAAAAAATGATGAGGGAATAACAGAAACAACTTTGTATTTCTTTATTATTTGGTTATTAAATTAAATGATTCCTTTAAAAAATCCAAGTTAAATTAATAACCATATTTTATTATCTTAAAACCCTTTTTTAGTATCTTAGCTTTTTTTTTTTTTCATAATTTTTGATCAAATACCAACTGAAATTAATTCTTAATTTTTAATTACCAACACGAATTCCTTATTTTAAATTTTCTTTCCTGATGAATTGTTTTATTTTACTAAGGTTAAACATTAGTATCGTTAAAATAAATTGTATAGCCCTTAAGTAAATCATGTAGTTAGCTGTGGTAGTGAAAAAAAGACATCACAGTTATAGGAAATTAGTAATGTCATTATTTTTTAAACAAAGTTAAAATGCAATTTAATTTTTTCTGGAATAGTATGTTTGAATTAGATCAAAAAGGTAATGGTGTGTTAGAAACAAAAACTATATTTTTGATGTTGATAGAGTAGACTAGTGAGTTCTTAACGCAATAAATACTTGATAAATATTAAACATGTTGAAATCACATGAGTAGTTATTTAACGATAATGTTGGTAAAACTTGTCAATTAACGGAAATATTCTGACTGCATTTGAAATTAAAAATTACATAAAAATGTAAATTTAACAAAAAAAAACAATTAATATGAATGGCTTTGATTTTTAATCAAGTGTTCAGATGAAAGTATAATTTTTGTCTTAAATTGACAACCGAAAAATTATTTGCTACAGATTTGATTAATATTCTTTCAGTCAAGCATAACAGTTCAATTACTTTATTAATTTAATAGTTATTAAATCTCAGCAATTTTTTAAATTTTAAATACTCTTAATTTCATTTATGAAATTTTTACTGCCCATGCTAACTTGATTTTTTTACAATTTGTGGCGTGGAAATGTTTACTACGATAAGAAACCACCGCTTTGGTTTAGAAGAAAATATACTTTAGAATTTATTCAACGTGGTATTAAATTGAAGTTTCTGAATGCACTTGACCAAAAAATGAAGTGCGAAGTTTATCAGGAAAAAAATTCTTATTTACCTAATTATTATGGTAAATGACTAAAATTTTACGGTAAATTACGGAAAAATGAGTTGAAAAAATGAAGAAATCATATATCCCGATTTCGGATGTTGGTAACGAAAAAAATGAGCTTGTAAGGCGAATTTACAGGTATAGTAATAATATACTCATAAATTATTATGACCTTGGTAAATGATGAAAAATTTTAATTCCTAAAATAAAATTTTGGTGGGATTTGTTCTTATTTTATAAACTAAATACTCTTTAGTATTTTTAATTTTTCTTGTTACTTATTTTGTCGAATGAAATTATATTAATTAGATAATTTTAAAAGAAATTATTATCGCTCTTAAAATTAGAAACCTTGGTTTTTACCACATGTTGGTTCAATTTCTTATTCAAGAATAATAAAACAAGTTAAAATTATTTTAAATTATAATAACAATCTATATTTAGAATTAAAAATATGTCATAGTGTATGTTTACTTTTATGGTCTCTAATAACTTCTGGTAATTTGAATAAGTATAATTTTATTATTAATTTATTAACATTATTATTACTTTTTCAGGTCTCTTACCGAAGTTGTGCAACAACTAGATGATGTTAGAGGAAGATCCAAGACCGTTTTTAATCTTTTTCTGCCTTGCACAGTAACACTAAGAATAAAACTTCATGATCTTTGTTACAAGCTAATTTTAGCAGATCCTTTGGGTTATGGGAAAAAAGGAGAGGAATTATTATGGAGAAAAGGATATCATGACTTATTCTCCACTGCTAAACGTTTGAGAAAAGTAAAAAAGTACTTCTTACTGTAAGTTTTTAAAAAAATTTATATAGTGTTATTAATTATGATTTTATTTATATTTTGTAGAATGATTCTTGGACATCTGATGACATTGAATATGTACAAGGCTTATTAATGTCTGGAATAGGACATTATCAGCATATTTTATTTAAATTACAAACAGACTACAAGCTTAGTTTTCAAGGAGTTATTGATTTTTCTTTAGATATGAGTGCCTTAGGATTACAAAAAGGTATTAATAACTTTTCATTCGTTATTTTTAACTTATTGTAACAGTTATTATATTTTTTTTTTTTTTTATATAGGAAAAACTACTACTGTAAATAAAATGACTGATGAAAATCTTGTAAAGTGGGCTGAGGAATCTTGCTATAGATGTTTGATTTATTTGGGAGATTTAAACAGATACTTACTTGATTTATATCCACTATGGGACAGTGGTACAGCAGAGAGATATTATTTACAAGCTGCTTTCATGAATCCAAATAGCGGCAGGCCTTTTAACCAACTTGGAACTCTTGCAAGTTGCAAAAATTACAATTTAGATGCAGTGTATAATTATACTAGATGGTAGGTATAAAAAACTGTAAAAAAAAAAAAGTATAATTTTTGAAAAATGTTGCAAGTAAAATTAACTTTCATTAAAAATACTCTAAATAAATTTTACAAGCTTTCATATTTTTTTGTTAGCATAATTTTTTACTACAAAAGGAAAATTGATATTTGACTATATTATTTTGATTAAATATTATATATATTGTTTTAAACTAAAATTTTTATGCACAGCATGACATGTCTTGAGCCATTTCATGGAGCTGAAGGGAATTTAAAGAAAGCTATAGAAAAAAACTTGGAGCTCATGCAATTAGAGCCATTTCTTCCAAATCCAGCCCCAGCATTACAGAAACTTATCATGAAATTTATATTTCTTTTTGATATATGGTATTTTGACAAAACAATTGACAGTGGTTTACACAATGCATGTCATGAAATGTTGCAAGAACTTCAATATTGTTTAAGAGAAGAAAGCGTTAGTTTTTCAACATTTGATCATAATGAATTAGAATTGGTCAATTTAACTCCTTTTAAAGATCGAACCACAGAGCATCCAGAATATATTAATTCTGATATAATATTAAAAATGACAATTCTTGTTCTAATTTGTGCAGATAAATTGCAAAAAAAAGGTATGTATTTTTTTTTTATTGTTACAATCTTATTTTTATTAATTAAATAATAAAAAAAATTTTTTTTTTAATTTCAGATTCAACTCAAACCTCTGCAATTATAGCCATGTGTTTAGCTATGCTTTCTCAATTATTACAGCATATAATTGAACGTTTTCAAAATTTTTTCTTACGATTTGGTTCTGAAGTTACTTTAAAAGATTCAAAAAAAACTTCATCTTGCGAATCTCAATTGCAAATAAATCAAAATGATAACTGTGTAAAAAAATTAAAGAATGAAAAGTTTGAAAATCTATTACACGAGAACGTGAATATGAATATCCCTAAAATTTTAAATTTAAGACAAATAAAATATGACTCGGAAGTTGGAAAAAACAGTAGTATTGTTGTCGAGTTTTCTAAACCGCCTGATACCTCTACAGAAAAAACTATTTTAAAAAGAAAAAACCAACTTAAAAGAAGAAAACGGGTGCGTCCCGTTAGTTCATGTGAATCAAATTATAGTGACAGTGATATTACTCTAAATGATAGTAGCACTGATGATGAATATTTTTCTGGAGGTTCAGACTCTGACGAAATGATTTCTTCCGAAAGTGAGGATTTGGATGAAACTTTATTAATTATTGATCAAAAAATAAAAGAAAAAAAAAACAAAATAAATGAAAAAGAAGGAAATATTAATGGAGTCGGTAAAGAAATTGTGAAAGAAAATGATAAACAAAAATCAGAAATGAATTCTTTGTTAATAACAAATAAAAACCAATCAAGTGTAAAAGAAATTTCAAAGAATGGAATCAACGATCTCAACAGTATAAAAATGTCTAATGAAAAAGACAGAACCAAAAGTTTATTTACAATAATAAATGATGTTCACAATGACAACAAGATAAATGAAAATAACAGAGGGGATTTTACTTTTGATTATAAAACTGTGGAAAGTAATACACCAAATGGCCATTCGCTCCCTTCTGCAATTGATAATAAAAATGAAACTGGTAATATATATTTATTTTATTTAATCTAATAGTAACTCCAACCTATTAAATAATAAGTTAAATATTTTTTTTTTTTGGAAAAAATAATTTTTAAATGATTTACTTACAAAAAATGTTTTAATTAATAAATTTTTCAGGAAATACGTCGAATAACACTGATGATTCGTCAAATAATTTAAACTTAAAACAAATTGATACAAATAAATTTTTACAATTTTTATCTCGACAAGAAATTTTAAAGTCTATAAAAATTTATTGTGATTGGTTTCACAGCGATGCTGAAAAAATTAAAGCTTTTAGTAAGAGTTCGAAAACTTTACTTGGAAAATTGGCTACGTTTTTGAACTTGATTGCATTTGAAGAAGATTTATTTTCAAAAGGTAAAATTTAATATATATATATATAATTTTTTTTTTATTTTAATTATTTTTATTAGTTTTAGTTTCTTTAATTCTTGTATTAAAAAATTATTATTATTAATTATTGTTTTTTTTTTTTTTTGTTGTTCATAGAATGGAGCAAACTGATCACTCAAACAGAAGATACTATCCCTTTAAGTGAAGACATTGTTACAAGGGGTTTGAATATGTTTAAAGGAGTACATGAAAAACTTAATTGGAAATTATATAAACTAAATCGCATTAGTAGCGTGGAAGAAAATATTTTGCGTTTATCTAAAATCACGGAATTTGGTCATTATCTGACAAAAATTGAAGAAACTGGTATACACTTTAATAAACGTAGCAAAACGTTTTACGTTGTTGGTCAAAACGGGAAGATAGAAAATACATCACTTGAAATAGTAAGTTTTTGAAAGCATATTCAAATTCTCAATCAATTTGTAAAATTGTTTTAAACAATGTTTTGTTTGAAATTATAGTTAAGTAAACGACAAAACTGCAATACTTCTAAAAAAGGCCAATTAATGAAAAACATGGGTCAACTTTGGCTTAAAGCAGAGGTAAGAGATTTAGAAAGCAGAGTTCGAAGGAAAGCTGGAAATTTTTCACCATATTTAGTGGTGGACTCGGAGGCTCTCATTGAGCATATTGTTTTGGTCAAACAACTTGTTGGTTCTAGACAGTTTATTGTTATCATTCCAACAGTGGGTAAGCTCTTTAACAAAAATTTTTTTATTTTTTATTTTTACATTAAAATACATTGGTATACAAAAAATTAAGCATTTCAAAAATAAAATGTTTTATCATTTAATTTATATTAATATTGATTACAGTTTTGTCTCATTTGGATGAATGTAAACGAGATAGTGGGAGGGCACGTGAAACAATCAGGTGGTTGGAGTCTCAATTTCAACACGGAAATCGGTCTTTAAGAGCTCAAAAATCACAAGAAAGAATGTCATTGCCACTTATTAAATATCCAAAGAAAAAAGATAAAGAAGCATGGTAAGATTAATATTTAAAAATAATTTACTGCAGTAAAACTTTTTTTTTTTTCAAGTTAAATAAATTGATTCTTTTATTCATTTAGGAATTTTTTTCAAATTGTTGAATGTTGTCATTACTTTAGCAAGCAAAGTGAATTCCAAAATTGTCATTCTAATTTGCTTGTTACTCTTCTCATTGGTCAAAAAGATATTTTGTTTGTAAATGATAATAAAAAAGACGATTTTGGTAAAGAATACAGTCCTGTTGGCGTTGCGAAAAATTTTGGTAATTTTTAAATTATTTTGGCCTTTTTTGACATAATGCTTTGTTGTATTACATTCAATATTGTAAATTTGTTTTTAAATCTTAGGTATTAACTTAGAGTACATTGAAACATTTCATACAAAATGGATTCTATCGATCAAGAGCCATGGTTGAAAAGTTGTCTGTTTGAAATTGTCCAAGTGCGGTTTCAAGTTTTAACAAAATGCGTGATAGCATATTTGATTAACCTCTTGAGAGAAGAAGGAGTCCCAGAGAAGGTTAAAAAAAAAAAAAAAAAAAAAAAAAAATTGGTGTCACTCACAAACGGCAAAAAAATTAGTTGTACGTTTTGCCAGATCATAAGAAAATTGATATAAACTACACTATTGACATTGCAAATCGAAAATAGGAGTTTTGCAAAAAAATTATTTTTATATATTGATTGAATTCAGGTTTTTTTCATATCTTTTTTTTTTTTTATACTTTTTTTGGTTTTTAGACATTGATGAATCTGAATTATGAATACAAACAATACAAATGGAATTGCAAATCTATTATTTTATGACTGAAAATTTTTAAGTCTGGCAAGAAATACTATAGCTGTTTATTCCATAAATTTTGGTTTAAGATTTCATAGATTTTATATCTATGTATGATCATTTTAAATTTATATTTCAGATTATTTAATTTTCTTTTGTGTTAAATTGTATTTAAAATGATTGATCATAAAAAGCTATTATTTTTAATGTAGAATTTTTTCATTAATAAATATTTTATTTCTTAAATATATAATTTCATATTAACTTTTACATTTTTTTCGTAACATTATTATTATTATTTAAAAAAGTTCTCTTTCTTGAAACCTTCAGTTTCATAATTAACATTTGTCCTTGTTTATCTATCATAAGAATGCAAAGTTTTAATTGACCCATTTAAAAAAAAATATGTTAATCATTATACTGCAGTTAATCAAAAAATATCGAATTTTAAAACTTAAATAAATACATTTACTTTTGCTTTTTTCCATTAGCATCTTGCAAAAAAAAAATTTATATTTTTTTTTCTGTTATTTTAAATTTTATTTATTTAAGTTTATGAGTACTGATAAACATAATTGTGTAAGTTAATAATTTAGAATATATTTTAAAAAAATGCCGTCCGTATGTTTCTTTTTAAAAAGAAATTTTCATCAGTTTTAATTTTTTAAAATTATATTTATAAGTTTACATAACTGACATTACAACTCATAAAACTTATATAACAGCCGATTTAAAAAGATTCTCACTTAGTGTATACTAATTTTTATCTAAATTTCCTTTTTTTCGGGGAATTAGATAAAAATTAATAATACTCTATGATATATGGAGCTTCGGTTTAATTATTCCTTCTCAGGCGTTACTTTACTTAAAGTTTTTATTTTTTATTTTTTACTATCTTCCAAATGTCTAGAAGAAGACCTCATGAAGAAGATGAGAACTATGGTAAGTAAATAATAGTTTTATTATAATTAACTATTCTTTTACTTCTTATTTTTTACGTAAAATAAAAATATATAAAGTTATTTTGGTTTTTGTGTTTAATATTAAATACTTGTTTTATAAAATATTAATTAAAATTTAATATGGAGATTATTAAATTTAATAAATTAATAATTTTCTTTTTCCATCTTTTATTTTTTAGACAGAGCCTACCGAAAACGACGACGATTGTCAGAAAACCAAGAAATTGAAGATCGGCTAGAGTCTCTAATCCTTCGTGTGGGAGAAAAAGTATGTATTTTATATTTATATTTCTAAAAACTTATTTCGTTTCTACTATTCATTAATTAAAACTATTTTATTAAAATATTAATTTTATTTCAATTTTTCGAAAATCAATCATTTTTTCGTAATTCAAAGTTTTTTTTGTTTTTAATTTTTTATACTTTATATATACATATAATAATATAATATATATATATTACACTTTTTGTAAATTTAAGTTTCATTCAATGTAAAGTTTTACTTATACCAATGTTACATTTAATTTGCATTTTTTATTTTTCAGAGTACTTCTTCTCTAGAGAGTAATTTAGAAGGATTAGCTAGTGTTTTAGAAGCAGATTTGGCAAGTTTCAGAAATAAAATACTTCGAATATTAACAGATTGTGCTATTAAAATGCCAGAAAAATGTACCATTTATACCACATTGGTGGGTTTGTTAAATGTTAAAAACTACAACTTTGGCGGTGAAGTAAGCTCAACTTTTCTTATTAAGTAAAATTTTGTTATATTTTCAAATTTTTTTGAACTTTATAGTTTTCCTAATTTTTTTTTTTATTTTTCAGTTTGTAGAATATCTGGTTAGAAATTTCAAAGAATCATTGAAAGGTTGTAGATGGGACTCAGCAAGATATTCTTTAAGATTTTTAGCCGATTTAGTTAACTGCCATGTCATCGCAGCTGGATCATTAATTCAGTTATTGTCAAATATGGTAGAAGCTTCTATGGAAGAGGGAGTTCCTCAGGTATTTTAAAAATTTATACATATAAGAACTTAATTTTTCATTATTAAAATGTCTGTATAATATTTATTACCTTATAATTTAATAATAATTTTAGGTTCGAAAAGACTGGTACATATATGCAGTTTTATGTACATTACCATGGATTGGAAGAGAATTGTATGAAAAAAAAGAACAAGCTCTTGATAACTTACTTCTTACCATACAGGTATTTTTAGGAAAAAGGCAAAAAAACATGTGAGGGCTCTGAGGGTGTGGAGTATTGATAACCCTCATCCACAAGAAGAGGTAACCATTTTTTTTGTTTTTTTTACTCTTATAGCATTATATTATTTCTTCTCTATTTGTAATTTTTATAAAATGGAAATTTACTTGTTTAATTTTCTAAGTCTTTCAATTAAAAATTTAAGTTTTTTGTTATAAACAAAATGAATAAAAATTAAAATGTTATTAAATATGATTTTCAGTATTTGGATTGTTTATGGGCTCAAATATGCAAGTTAAGGCAAGATAATTGGCAAGAAAAACACATTCCAAGACCTTACTTGGCATTTGATAGTGCTTTGAGTGAGGCACTTCAACATAATCTGCCTAACATATTGCCGCCCCCACATCATGAAAGTTACATATATCCAATGCCATCAGTGATATTTAGAATGTTTGATTATACTGATTGTCCTGAAGTAAGTGTTTAATTATACTTGACATGCATTTAATTTTAATAGCTACAAAATATTTAAAAATCATAATTTTTTTTTCAGGGCCCTATATTACCAGGATCTCACTCTATAGAAAGGTTTTTAATTGAAGAACATCTTCATCAAATTATTGAAATGTTCCATCTAGAAAGAAAAGAATGGTAATTTTAACTGTTATTTAATTTGTCTTTAAAATTTTTATTATGTTTTATAATTACATTTTGCCATTCAAAACATTTTCATACATATTCTAAAAGTAGATAATTCTTTAAATCATTAAACACCACCAATTTCAAAAAGGTAAAGATACTATAGTGTCTGCTATAAAAAACTTAAACTTTAAATTCAATATATTTGAAAAATATGATCTTAAATAAAATTAAAATTTTTTATTATTAAATTTATTTTTACAGATGATCGAAAGAAAGTCTAAAATAATTTATGGTATCTTAGAATATTGTTTATTTTTGTATAAACTTTTTTATACATATAAATTTATTATAATTCATATTCATTTTAGTGAGACTTGTAAAGTTTTAGAATTATAAATCTCATGTCTAATAAAATTTTTGTAAAATATTTTTTCAGTGCTGCACATCTGTTGAATTTTCCATACAAATCAAAAATCCCACTGGATTATTGTATCGTCGAAGTTATATTTGGTGAAATTTTTCACATGCCGAATCCTAGATACCTTGAAATATGTTATGGTTCAATTTTGATAGAATTGTGTAAATTGCAGCCTAGTACAATGCCCCAGGTTTTGGCACAGGCGACTGAAATTTTATTTATGAGAATTGACATGATGAACACTTCCTGTTTCGATAGGTAAGTATTAAAAAAAAACATATATTTAATTTTTTTTTTTTTTCTCATTATTAAAAATGTTTTTTTTTCAATTTACAGGTTGGTTTCTTGGTTTTCATATCATTTAAGTAATTTTCAATTTCGATGGAGTTGGGAAGATTGGTCTGAATGTCTTACGCTGGAATCCGATCATCCTAAACCTAAATTTGTTCAAGAAACTCTACACAAAGCCTTAAGACTTTCTTATTATCAAAGAATCAAGGATATGGTTGCAGAGCCATTTGAAAATTTATTACCGCCAAAACCTGAAATTTGTTACAAATACACTTTAGACGAAGCAGGTAAGATTTTATTTTAAAATTTTAAAAAAAAAAACAAAAAAAAATACAAATAATTGGTGGTGAAATTAATATTTGTCAAGTTTTTTTGTATTTTTTTTTTTTGTTTTTTTTTACATTACTAAATAATTTATTGAATATCCCCACATGTTCAAATACCTGAAATATGTATTAATTTAAAAATATCGAAGATATCATTGATTTTGAATGTTATTTTCAGTTGTCATTTGTTGGTTAACAAATTTTGATATTTTAGTTTTCTTTTTAAGTTTTCGTCTATTTGATTGAGAGTTTTTGGAAATTTTTTTTTTCGTTATTTTTTTTCTAACTACCGGAGTCGTAAAATTTAAATCGGATTCTTTATTAAGTATTTTTTCAGAGTTTTCCACTTTAAAATTTTTCAAAGTCGATGAGTTGTTTAATTTGTACTGGGATGTTTCTATGTTTTCCGCATCGTCAGGAATTTTTTTATAAATTTCAGTATTTTTTTGTGATGCAAATTCAGATTGTTGTGATTCGCAGTTTTTGATTTTAGCTGTTTCCATCAATGCAGAAAGTAAAAGACTACAGTAATTTTTATCTTCTCCTGTTTCGTCGGCCACCGTTTGAGTTTTATTTGTGATTGTTTCATTAAATTTTACACTTTCGGACTTATTGCTGTTTAAATCAAACATAATATTATTGTTTATATTCGAATTATTTTTCTCGTTACTGGAAATAATATAAGGGTACGTCAATACGCCATTTTCCTGTGATTCCTTTAAATTATATTTTAAACTTGTATCATTTGTATTCGGTTGCTTTTTTATTTCTTTAAAATTTATGGTTTTTTTATTACTCCATTCAATACTAGTATCAAAATCAGATTTATTTTCACCATCTGTATCACGACTTATAAAAAATATTTTTTCTTTTCTGTATAAATTTTCCGAATTGTTTGATATCTTCTTTTCTGTCGCATCAATGTTTGAATCTTTCCAATATTTAAATTCATGCGAACCTTCATTTTTCTTAAACTTTGACGATTCATCAAATATATTTATTTTAGTTTCTTTTCTATCAGACATTACGTCTGAGTTTTCATAAGTATTAAATGATTTTGGCGTAGAATTTAAATTAGTGTCACTTTTATAAAAATTTTTAAATTTTTCCAGCAAAGCATAATTTAAAATGGTTTCTGCGTAGGAAAAACGATTTGGAATATGACGATAACTAATGTAATTGTCTTCGTTTATTTTTCCTTTAGTTGTTTCTAATTTAATAACGGATGCTCTGATGGGTTTTTTTAAAGGAAAATATATTTCTTGTGTCGGCGGCCTCGATTCCGTATTAAAACGTGGTAATGATGTATATTCATGTGTAAGGGATTCTTGTTTCATTGAACCATGTTCGTTGAGAAATAATAAATTTAAACTTTGTAAATGTTGAGACCAATAATCTCGAGCCTTTCTCCTTGGAGGCAACAAATGTAAAATAAAGTTTACTTTTTCCTGTCTTTCTACGCTACCGAGAGCCTTTAACGGTTGTTGCGTATAATATTCAACTTTTTCAATTTTCGGTTTGCTAAAAGTCCCAATTGAAATATCTGTTGAAAATTTTTTGCTTTCTTCTTCGATGCTTTGTGTTTTGGTAACAATCTAAAATATAATAATAAATCATGAATTACAAGAAATTAAAAAAAACTGTATTATTAGTTATTAAGCTGGGCATAACGTCTTTACTGCTTGAAGTAATTCATATATATATTTATAATATTTTTAATTAAAGTATTAAGTGAAGATATTCTAATTGAAATCGATAAGAAATTTGAAAAAAAAAAAATTATTTTACTTACAAATAAAATTAAAATAATTGTTTTTTTACGAAAAATCTTCATTTTATAATTATAAAATTTTAACTTAATTTTACTTATGAATTTTTTTCTAAACCGTAAGAGTCTTGCTCACTATAGTTCAATAATATTTTAACTGAATTATTATTCTTTTTTTTTTTTTTTGTAAGAATGCCTAATTTTTTAACTTTTTACATAATTGTATAAATACTTTCTCACAAGTTTTTATTTAACTTATTCAAATCTGCATTCACAATAAAAAAATAATATTAATTCTATGAAATAATATTTAATAAAATTTGAACAATACATTTAAACTTTTATATTTAAAAAAAGAAAAAAAAAAAGATAATTTTAGATAATTTCATATTAACAATGATAATATTAATTGTTTGTTAGGAGTTATTTTAGTTTTTTTTTTTTTTTTTTCCTAGGTCTTTCAACCGGAAAATTATATAATTGTAAAAATTTTTTGGGACATGAGATATTTTCTCACTATTAACATATTCCTTAATATAATGGATATATATATATATATAAAATATAATTTCTTTTTGAATTTTTTATTATATTAAATATAAATAATTTTTCATTATCGAGTATTTTCCAAGAGTGAAACGATTAAAAAAAAAACTTGTATAAATTCTTATTTCAATTTTTTATTAACTATTAATTTTTTTTTTTTTTTTTTAATTAGGACACCTTCCAGGTTCTAATGTTGCGAATCAAATAATAGCTAAAATCAGAGCCAAATGCGCTCCTGAAGAAATTATTGGATTATTAAAGGAATTGCCAAATCCTGATACAGAAGATGAAAGCGGTGACACGAGATTTAATCCTCTTAAAATAGAAGTTTTCGTTCAAACTTTATTCTTCTTAGGATCCAAAAGTTTTTCCCATTCTTTTGCAGCCATCAGTAAATTTCACCATGTTTTCAAGGTAATTTAAATACCTGAAAAAGAAAAATTAAAAAAAAAATTAACAAAGACATAATAAGTTGTTTATAATGTTTAAAATCATTTTAATATTTTATTTTTCAAAATTATATACTAATACAAAAATTAATAAATAATATTAATTATAGATTTTAGGAGAATCGGAAGAAGCTCAAATTTGTATTCTGAGAAATTTATACGAAGTTTGGCATCAACATCCTCAAATGATTTGCGTTTTGGTTGAAAAAATGTTAAAAACTCAAATAATTGAATGTTCTGCTGTTGCCAATTGGATATTTTCTAAAGAAATGAGTAAAGAATTTACAAGGTTATTTTTTTTTTTTACTATTAGTTTTTTATTTGATTTTTATTGGAATTAGAAAAGACCTGATTAATAATTTTGTAATTTTAGAATGTACTTATGGGAAATACTTCATTTGACAATAAAAAAAATGAATAAACATGTGACTAGAGTATCCAGAGAATTGAGTGATGCTCGTGAACGACTCGGAAGAGGAGAAAGCGATTCAGATAGTGATAATGAAAATAAAAATAATGACGAAAAGGAAAAACCTACAGAAGAAATGGTGGATAGAATGGAAGAAAAATTAGAAGCGGCTCAAGCAGATCAAAAAAATTTATTTCTTATTATATTTCAGGTAAGTTAGTCATTACTTACTCATGAGTTTTATGTTATTTTAAATTAAATAAAAATTTTATTATTATTTTTTTTTTAAAAGAGATTATTTGAATTTGTCTGAGCACTTAGTTCGTTGTGATACAGATGGTAAAGATTTTGACACACATTGGTACAGATGGACAATAGGAAGACTTCAACAAGTTTTTATGATGGTAAGAAGACCAGGATAATTGATTTTTATTTGAATTTATTTTACTTAATAAAAAAAAATATTTTAAAATTTTTAGCATCATGAACAAGTTCAGAAGTACAGTTCAACACTTGAGACATTATTATTCACTTCTGATTTAGACCCTCATATTCTTGATGTTTTTCATCAGTTTTTATCATTAAGATCATAACAGTTTGATAATTTTAAATTGTAATAAAATAAACTAAAATAAAATATATAATATATTTTTAAAATTTTAAATAAGTTTGTTGTATAGCTCCTTGGTTTGATTTAAAAATTTTTTTAAATTTTTATCAAGTAAAAACTTAATTTTGCTTTTTTTGACAATAAAAAAAAAAAAAAAAAGATTTTTCATACGTAAACTGAAGTTCGTACAATATGCCTTTTTAAGATTTGAAATTTAAAGGTATTGATTGTGTTTTTAAAAAAAAACATATATTATTCCAATAAAACATAATTTTTATATAAACATACATTAAATAGGTATCAACCTCAGGAAAAATAAATCAAACATTCTTTTTGACGAAATATTTAAAAATTAAGCATTATGCCGATATACACTAAATAAATAATAATTCTGTGAAATAAAAACAAGACATGAATTAAACTAATTTTTTTTTAAAATATAATTTGAATTCAAAATTTAAAAAGAAAAAATAAATACTGTTGAAAAATATTACATTTCACTACTGCCACGATTTTTTTAAACAAGTGTATATACAACATAAAGGATATACTAGATTTACAAGTTGTGTTTAATTTAAAATGGCGTTAGACAGTTTAGCCGGATTGCCTAATTATAAATTTGGTGATATTGAAGAGAATGAAATTCAAAGAAAAGGATGCGGAAATTTCTACAATCAAATGTGTTTATCTGTTCCGCCGTATGAAAATGTAGGTATTTGAAAATTACATTTTATACATGACACATTATATAAAACTAAGTTTTTTATGCTGTGTCATTATTAAAATTTTTCATTGTATAGAATTATATTTGAAATTATATTGTTTTTAAAATTCAAATCACTAATAATAATTTTTTTTTTTTTTTTTTTTTTTTACAGCCAAATCAAAAACTTCACGAACTTAGACAAAAAGGATTGAAAATTGATATTGATCATGGAACCACAACATTGGGGTTTAGATTTAAAAATGGAGTTATTCTTGCTGTTGATTCGAGAGCAACTGGAGGTCAATGCATAGGTAAGTTTAATTTTCTATACTATCTAAACCATTAAAAATTAGTTATTACTTTTTAATTTTTTTGAATTTTTATATAGGATCACAAACCATGAAAAAAATTGTTGAAATTAACAATTACCTGTTGGGGACACTGGCCGGTGGAGCTGCAGATTGTGTCTATTGGGATAGGGTTTTAGCTAAGCAGTGCAGAATGTTTGAATTGAGAAATCATGAAAGAATATCTGTAGCAGCAGCTAGCAAATTAATGACTAACATGGTGTACAACTACAAAGGAATGGGTTTAAGCATGGGTATGATGATAGCTGGCTGGGATAAAAGAGTAAGTTTTTATTTTATTTATTGATAACAAAAAAAAAAGTTTTTCAAGTTCGTAGTTTTAATTGAAATAATTTTTAGGGAGCTTCCTTGTATTATGTGAGTGATGACGGAACAAGAACAAGTGGCAATGTGTTTTCTGTAGGAAGTGGATCAATTTATGCTTTTGGTGTATTAGATACAGGCTATAAATGGGATTTAGAAGATAAAGAAGCCTATGACTTAGCTCAAAGATCCATTTATCATGCTACTTATAGGGATGCATACTCTGGTGGAATAATTAGAGGTAATTTTTTCAAAATACTTGATATGCAGTAAATTTATTATGTAAGCACATATATACTTATTATATTGTTATTGTGTTTCTTTCAGTTTATCATATTAAAGAAACAGGATGGGTAAACATATCAGAAATTGATTGCAAAGAGTTGCATTATAAATATCAAAAGGAAAAAGGCCTTCTTCCAGCATAATTTAATTATATATTTCAGAAAACTTTTTTTTTTTTTGCTCCCTAATATAAATGTTAACTGTGTTTTTTTTTAATTACTAAATAAATTCAGAAATATTAAAAAAAATTTTTTAATTAAGTGTTAATTAATAAATTCTATTGTTTATTTATAAATAATCATAAAATAAACTATATTGGCACTACAATTTTAATTTATGAATTTGCTATTTTTTTTTTTTTAAAAGGAAGTTATATATGAGGTAAGAAATACAATCTTTTTTTACAAAAACTACTCAATTTGATATTTTTAATGTATTACTTGTTTTAT